CAAGCTAATTTTAAAAACATTTTTTGAAAAAAATGATTTGAAATCCCTGGAGAATATTTCAGAGAAAACTAGAACCTTTTTTCATTTAGGAAGATAATACCGTTTTGAAAGTGTGTGAAAAGCTTGGAAAGTTAAAGGAAAGTGCTTTAGAGGTTAGTACCTTTAAACATTGGCTGGAAAGTGAAAGTGATATGCAGAAACTGAAAAAGGAGTTCTATCTTCAAAACGTTTGGCTGACCCTAAACTGCTTGGTATGTACTTGTGAATGAAAACAATGTCAATAATACTGAAAAATACTTTTATCTGCTGTTCATTGTACCTGATTCAGGCCATGGTCTTTTCAGTTACATGCTATGCATCTGCAAGGTGTACAATTAATAAGAATGGAAGAAGAATGGGCACCTCTAAACTGTGGTGTTGCAAAGAGTACTTAATATCCCATGGACTTCCAAATGAACAAACAGATATGTCATAGAGGAGGTGCTACCAGAGTGCTACTTGGAGGCAAAGATGGCAAAGCTTTGTCTCACACACAAAACTTAAACAGAATAGGTTAACCACAGGTCTGTGACTTCAGAAGAAAGAATTAACTAACTTGCATATAAATCAGTAGAATGTATCCAATATGAAAAAGAGCAGGGGGAAGACTGAATAAAAGTGAACAGATCCCCAATTATCTGTGGCTAATTCCCTGAAGTCTAATGTATGCTGTTGTTAGGTGCTGTTAAGTCATAGTGACCCTATGAACAACTGAACTAAAACCCTGTCCTAGCCTGTGCCATCGTCATCGTTTCTGCATTATGTCTCGCCTAACAATATACTCAAAGTATGTGAAATGAATTTTGTCATCTTTGCCTTCAAGGAGTACTGCCTTCTCTTTTTGTAAGATATAACAGTTTATGCATAGGAAGAGATTGAAAAGACCATGGCCTGAATTAATCACACCTTAGTCTTCAAACTGATATCATTGTTTCTCAGAAATTTGGAGTGATCCCAGCCTGCAGACGTCCTCAATGTAGTATATTTCCTGACCTTTTGACTTCTGGTACGAAGGGTATTGATTGTAGATACAAGTAAGATAAAATCTATGACAATTTCAATGTTTTATCATTATGTTGTTGATTGGCCCAGTAGGGAGAATTTTTGAGTTGGTTTTTTTTTTTTTTTTTTTTTATGAAATCCATATTGAAGGCTGTAATCTCTGATTACCTGCTGTAAGGGCTTCACATCTTTCTCACTTACAGCAAGTAAGGTTGTGTCACCCACATAATGCAGGTTGCTGATGAGCCTTCCTCTGGTCCTGATACCACATTCTTCTTCACAGAATCAAGCTTCTAGAATGTTTTGTTAAGCATACAGATTGTATAGATAATGAGAGTGGGTACAGTCCTGACCCTCAAGAGAAGATGGAGAGAATATACAGTGTCACTGTACCAAAAAAGAATTGGTTAAAATGAAATACTTTAGGAAGTATCACATGATCAACAGCTAATGGTAATGACAGAAGATGTTCATGCTGCAGCGAAGGCATTAGCAAAAAAAATTATGCCCCAGGAACTAATGAGCTACCAGCTGACATGTTTCAACTAACAGATACGGCTCTGGACCTATTTATTAATCCATGCCAGAAAATTTGGAAGACAACTGACTGGAAGGGATCCATATTTGCTAATATTTCCAAGAAAAGTGATTCAAGAGAATGTGCAACTTATTAAACAACATAATTAATAGTATGTGCAAGCAAAATATTGCTGAAGATCATCCAAAAATGCTTAGAATAATATATAGAGAACTACCAGAAATACAAGCAGAGTTTAGAAGAGGCTGTGGCATCAGGGATATCATTGCTAATGACTGAAGGATTCTAGCAGAAAACATATAATATCAGGAAAAAAGTCTATCTGTGCTTTATTGACTATGCAAAGGCATTTGACGACATGGATCATGAAAAATTATAGCTAACATTGAGAAAAATGGGAGTCCAGAAAATTTAATGGTGCTCATGTGAAACCTATACTTGGATAAAGAAACTTTGTCTCAAGAGAACAAGGGAACACTGCATGATTCAAAAATGTGTATGTTAGAATAAATGGAAAAGAAGAAATACCGTTTAAATAATTTTTTATATTTTTCCAAATTAGATTAAAAATGTAAATTTATGGATCTAAGAATCTCAGTTAACTCAAGAAATACAAATATAAAATAAATAAACTCTTACACATACTATAGAAAAATGTATGCAAATAATCAAACAAATTTAACAAATATAAATTAGCAAATATAATCATAAGCAGTATGACTGAAATAAACCAGGGTTAGAAAATGAAATAACAGATTTAACATTAAAACAGAAAATGAAGGTAAAATAAGGAAATATGAACAGCAATAGCAACAAAAAAATTTTGAAACTAATTTTCTACTCCACTAAACTATGTGGCTTACAATAATAGGAATATAGTATTTAATAGTTCAAAGGACTCTCTATCTCTATTTCATTGCTGTGCAGTCGGGATTGACTCATATTTTTACTGTTATGTGCCATCAAGGTCCTTGCAACTCATAGCAAACCTGTATACAATAGCTCTGTAGGCTGCCTTGTCCTGAGCCAGTCTCATTGACTCAGACAAACCTACCTCCATTTCCCTAGTTACTGTATCAGTCCTTCTCATCTGGGGTCTCCCGCCCCTGCTCTGTGCCTCCAACCTTCCCAGTATAAATGATGTCCTTGTCTAAGGACTGGTCCCTCCAGGACATGTGCCTAAAGTACCTCAGTTTTAGCAAGAAAGGTTGCGTCATCTGTATAACACAGGTTGTTGACGAGTCTTCCTTTAATCCTGATGCCACATTTCTCCTCATAAAGCCCAGCCTTCTAAATAATCTGTTCTGTATATAAATTGAAAAGATACAGAGACAAGACATATCCCTTATGCACTCCTTTCCTTTTTTTTTTTACTATTTAGTATTTCCTTGCTCTGTTCTGAGGATTCTTTCCTGGTCCAAGTATAGGTTTCACATGATCACAATCAAGTGTTCTGGGATTCTCATTTTCCTCAAGGTTTGCCACAATTTGTTATTAATTGGTGCAACACAATTGGTGTATATAACACAAACAACTTTAGTATAAAGACATCACTCATTTTGTATTAACACACCATACTCCAAAATGACCTTATCTTATTAATTACTAACAACTTCAAAAAACATTTTCAAGCAAGGCCACATTCACAGATATCATTTTAAGGGACACAATTCAATCTATAACATACCAGCTGTGATCCACACAGTCAGATGTCTTTGCATAGTCAATGAAACACAGATAGACATTCTTCTGGTACTCTCTGCTTTCTGCCAAGATCCATCTGACATTGGTGATAATGTCTCTAGTGCCATGACTTCTTTTAAACTCATCTTGTAATTCTGGTAGTTCTGTGACAATGTATTGTTCCAGTCATTTTTGGATAATCTTCAGCAGGATTTTGCTTGTGTGTGATATTGTATGATAATTTCCTCACTCTGTCAGGTCACCCTTTTTTGGAATGGGAGTAAATATTGACTCTTCTAGTCAGGTGGCCAGGTAGTTATCCTACAGATTTCTTGGCACAACCTGCTGTGCATATTCAGGGCAGCATCTGTTTATTGAAATCTCTAACGTAGTATGCCATCAATTCCTGGGGCCTTATTTTTTGCCAAGTCCTTCTGAGCAGCCTGTACTTCCTCCTTTACCATTGTCCCTTGATCATGTGCTGGTTCTTGAAATTCTTCTCTGTCAGCCAATTCTTTATGTGATTCTGTACACTCCTTCCATCTTTTAATATTTCCTGGTGTGGTTTCTGAGGCTATAGTTTGCATAAGAAGAGATTTCTCTTTCTCGGTAGGAGCCACAGGTAGATTTGAATGTCCAGAGAAGCACAGCACAAACTTTGGGTTAGCAGCAGAACTCCCTATGGACCAGGGTCCCTTGTAGGGTCTTGATATCTAAAATCAAGGTGTCAGCAAAGTCATGATCTCTTTCTTCAAAGTCACCTAGAGAAAGATGCTCTTTGTTTCTCTCAGCCACAGGTAGATGTAGATCTTCCATATCTTATAGTTGCATAACTGTCTTTATGTTCAACTTAAGTCTCCTCTGTCTGTCTGTCTGCATCTTCTACTCCTGTGAAGTTTACAGCCTCTTAAAATCCACTGGAGGACCATCTATGAGTTGGTTTTGACTCAAAGCACATACCATCAACAACTTTAGCATAAAGACATCACTCTTATTGTACTAACACACCTCGAAATGAACTCATGTTAACTGATAACAACTTCTAAAAACATTTTCAAGCACGGTCACATTCACAGGTACAATACTGAGGTTTGGGCTTTATCACAAGATATCATTTTGAGGGACACAATTTAATCCATAATAAGTATATATCTCCAAACTGATAAAACACAAATGAGAACACAGTTTAATATTAAGAAATATTTGTAAAAATCACCATTGTTTAATGAATTAATACATAAGGAATCAACTCATCAATAGATGTGATCGCTGACAAGGATTTTAAAAGCTCACAAAGACAGTATTTCTCTTAAGCAGATTACGTCAGTATATTATAAATACTTTCATATTTCCTAAGCAGAAATGGTTAAACCAGGTGGCTCCTTGGAGGCAAGGATTCTGAGGCTCCGTCTAACATACTTTGGACATGTTGTGAGGAGAGACCGGTCCTTGGAGAGGGACATCATGCTTGGGAGGGTGGAGGGACAGTGCCGGAGGGGAAGGCCCTCTATGAGGTGGATTGATTCAGTGACTGGGGTAATCAGGATGGGTGTATCAGAGACAGTGCGATTGGCACAGGACAGAGCATAGTTTAGGGCTATTGTAGATAAGGTCACTATGAGTCGCAAGCAACTCAATGGCACATAACAACAACAAAAACAAGCAGAAATGCCATAAATGTCTCCTAAAGTTATTTCAAGTATTACTTTTACTGGGAACAATATAGGAATAAACTTACCTGCAAATGATATCCAACCCTGATAAAGGCACAGTGTGGGTCAAATGCTCCTGTACCACAGGTAAGAAGATGTGTTCTGTTATAGTGATGCAAAGCCCGAACATAATTTGCACATTCTTCCTAAAGCAGGAAATATAAAAATAAGAAGTTGGTTCAATAAAAAAACTCATTCCTTTTGAGTCAAAATTCACTTGTTGCTAACTTCCCAGTGGGTTTTTGGAAGCTATAATCCACAGCACTGGATTGTCCATTTTTTTCTTTCCTCTGAGTCACTGGTGGATTTGAACTGCCAGCGAGGTAATTCCCTAAGAATTATCTCAGCAGAGGATTAGTGTAATAAAATTGCTCAATCTTATTTTTTCTGTTTTTTTTTTTTTTTTCTATCCCTAAACAAAAGAACAAAATGTTATGTCTTGGAGAAATTGCAGCCAGAGTGCTTTTTGGAGGCAAAGACTGGCAAAGCTTCACCTCTCATACTTTAGATATGTAGCTAAATGAGTTTATTCCTTGGAAGGGACATTTTGCTTGAAAAGATGAGGGTTAACAAAGGAGAGGAAGTCCTCCAATGAGATAGATAGACCCAGTGACTGAAGTAAAGGACTTAAGTACGTCAGAGACGATGAAGATGTGCAGGGTAGTACAGAGTTCAGGTCCATTGTTCAGAGGGCTACTATGAGTCTCACTCAACTCGAAGGCACCTGACAACAACGAGTGAGTACATTTAAAGGAGGATAAAATTAGTGAAGTTGAAACAGAGTGACTAACAAACATTTTAGCTAGCAGTGCTGTATGAATTACACTTTATAATGAAAGCACATCAATTTTAATTTATTCTAATACATACTTTAGGGAATAAAAGCACTGTTCAGAAATGTATTCAAGAATCTGCATGACAATATGCTCTACAAGTAATTAAGCTATTCCCAAAGCTGTTTTTTTTTTTAAAGTAAGTTCAATATAAACAATGAATCAGCATAAAGTCAGGGAAAATATTAGGGGGAAAAATGCTTCATTACCCATAAGAAAATATATGCAAACTTTCAGGGTATTACATAGTTACAAATTCACATAATTCATTTTAATTGAGAATCTTCAAGTAAACAGAAAGCCAACAAAGAAAAGTAACTTTGAAAATCTATTAGTGTTGGATTACAGCCTAAGGAATTACAGCATTTTATATAAAGGGGTGTATGTTGTTGTTGTTATATGTCATCGAGAAAGGGGTGTATAGCAAACGTAATTTTCCATAAAGGATCAAGTCTTTGGCTTTTTGGACCATCAGGTCTCTGTCTTAACTATGAAATGCTATTGCTATACCATTGAAGCGTTTATACAGAACGTGTAAATGAATGGGTGTTGCCATGTTCCAATAAAATTTTAACAAAAAAAGAAATGGACAGGCTACGTTTATATCAGAACCCCTTGTTTGCTTGCACTTAAGTTAGACAAAGATTTTTGAGAATAAAATATTTTGTGCTTAAAAATATCCTTGGTAACTGAACACAATAACTTATGTATAATAAAGGCTTATAGAGTTTTAATGCATAAGTATCTAGATTAGTATTAAAGCATGCTTAATAAACAAGGAGTTTGACATTATTTTCATACCAACTAGGTTAAATAAATTCTTGCAAGTACAATTTTGGTAAATTGTTGTTGCTGGTGACTATAAGCTTGAATCTAACACATAGCAATATACAAAATAACAGAAACAAATGATGTCACCACCACCTTGTTATTGCACCATCATTATTACTCAGTTTTTTTGCTCCTGCCTAGTATATTATATGATTGATTCAAGTAGCCAAACCCAGTCTATGTTATCTCACTAATATTAATGCCTAGAATGTCTTGGAAGGAGGAGTTGCATCCACTTCCCTAATAGCTTGCCTCCGGAAACCCTATGGACCTGGAGAGAAGATAAAAGGCACCTAAGTGTTGAGGACTCTCCTTCATAAGGTCGCTATGAGTTGCCTGTGACTCAAAGGCACTTAACAACAAGAAGAATGTCAATATTCATGTGTTACACCTTATTTTTCACAAGTTCTAGTTTTCCAACATTCATACCGTATATATTCCATGTTCCAATTAATAAAGGATGTTTGCACCTGATTTTCCTCATTTTGATTGACTTCTAAGCTAAGCTATACCTCTAATACTATAGCTATTCATGTTCCTCTGTTTTCACAGGGTTTTCATAGGCCTGCTATTTAAGAAGTGGATGATCAATTCTGCTTCCCAGTCTGTCTTAATTAAAAAATTCTATTAACTCTTGTCCATTATGGGTGACTCTTCTGGCATTTGGCACAAAGGTGAGCAACACATCTTTCACAAACACAGCCCCCACAGATTTTTTTCAGTACCACAAACTAACAGAAAAGTATTGCACTTATGAGAAAAATCATAAACAAGTAAGAATACAGATACGTAAAGTTATGATGTGATTAGTAATATGCAAATCATTCCCACAAATTAAGTATGATTATTTAATTCAAAATATGTGAGGAGGGAAATGCTAAACTCTCTAAGTGCCAATTATTTCTTTGAGACCCACACAAAATGATCAGTACATATAATGTTTTTAAAGTTAGATTGAGATTTCAAAACTCTAAAGCCTCTCATCTGACACATTGGGATGGATCAAAAGCCAGCAGAACTATTCTATGATGAGTGACTGAGATCACAGCAGGACGGCAGCAAAAACAAGTGATGTGCTGATTGGGTTATCCAAGAAATAAACCTTTACTTCTTAAGTTTCTCATTTATCTAACATTTTATTCTGTGGGTGACCCACATAGTTGATAGCATCTGATCTTTCAGGCCTGGTGAAAATATTCTGCTCCCATATTGTTCTAAAACCCTGCCTTGCCTCACTTCCTCACTGTCCCATAAGATGTGAGTAAATTAGACCTCGTCTTGGCTCATAAATGCTTAGACTGACAAGAACTAAGTGTGTGTTCAATTAGTCAGCATCACGCTGGGGACTCAGGCAGCCAGGAATGTGTTGACTCATTCCTTGGCTTCAAGCCAGTTGCTACAGAGCATGAGAAGTTGGTATTGTGTGTGTTAATCTTCTGCATCTATTTTCTTCCTTACTGGAGGAAAGGTTAAGCTCATTTTCAAAAGGAGGTCTACGTGTTTTCTCTGATGACATGAACTTTGTCCTACCATGGGGTGGTCAGTGGTCGTTGACACTCACACATTTGAGTGTGTCAGGGACTGTGCTAAGAAGCCTATGCAGCACAGCATTTTCCTTTCACGCACAGAAGCGAAGCTATGGAGAAATGGAATATTACTTATATAATTGCGAGATGGTCAAATGCATTCTGCAATTTAAAAATAACAGGCTCAAAAACCTGCCAGCTCATGATCTACCAAATTTCTGGGGCTATAAATCTTAATTGAGGGAGCTTGGGTGTCCTAACGGCAAGAAGCTGTGCTGAAATCCTGAAGACATGTGGTTCAAGGTTCTAGCTGCTCCGTGGGAGAAGGATGGGCCATCTCCTCCCGTGCAATTAACTGCCTCTGAAAACCCACTGCAGGGTCAGCTATCGGTCAGTTCTGGCTCGACGGTACACAACAACACTTCTTAATTGGAGGAGAGAAATGTATTTTTCTCCTGCCAACTGACTAGTAAATTCAAACGGATGGTCTTTAGGTTAAAAGCCCAATTTTAAAGAACCACACAAGAGTTGTTGTTTTTGATTGCCGTCATACACTATTCATAGTGACTCCATGAACAAAAGACCTGAGGCCTTTCTATAACATTCATTTCACCATGTGCATAGAGTTTCCAGAGGCATGTGGTTTAGGAAGTGGATGCCACTCCTGCTTTCCAACACCGCACCACTAGGGCTAAGCAGATTCACTCACTTTATCCTCTTCTATTTTTTACTTTCTCTCTCTTTCTCTCTTTTTTTTTTCACTAGACTTTCTTGCTTACAAATCAAAGGGAAATCACTAAAAAAGTAAAAATGAGGTTTTCTTGAAATTAGAACTTTCAATTATTTTATATCCAAATGTTTAAAAATGTTAACAAAGACATTTACACATTTGGGAGATAAAATTTAATAAAACCCAAAATCTGGATGATAGGTAGCTCAGCTGCCTTAACTCTAGTTGAGATTTATTTATTTTGCCATTTTTTTCCTTCATGTACTAAATACCCTTTTCAAGAGCACATAAAGTTTAATGACTCAATCGTGTATGGTCAACTAGTTATATAGTTGATTTAATTTACAATGAATAATACTTACTACGTCTTTCCCCTTCATTACGCATTCTTCTATTTTCTGTGACGTACTTGGCCAGTGTATCTGAAAGAAAGGATGATGATGCATTATTATGGCAACTCCACATAAAAATGAAGCATTGGAAAAATCATTTCCTTTTTTTCCTGTAATTGAATACATTTTCACCGTGTTATATTTATTGAGAAGATAAAGCAGGCTTAATCTTCCTTATTTCATAATTCTCATTGTTAAGAAACTTTAGTCTGAGCTTTGAGTTCACACTACATCTTATTTTATTGTCTTCTTGGTCATTTCCATTAAAGCTCAGGCCATCAGAGATGAATCACACTTAAGTCAAGCTTTATTTCTCCACACCCAGTCAGCTCTGTGCTCTGACTTCTAGTCTGTCTTCGGTACCTGATTGTCTGTGTATCTCCAACTGCAGGCACCTCTTTGAATTCTTTAAAATTTCCTTACCTTTAAACATCACCTAGTGCAGAACCTGAGGTGTGATGGAAGCTTATGTCTGCTGCAACAAAGAATTAAAGGACTAATAAGCCACACAACACCCGTGATAGGGAGCTCTGATGCCTCAGTGTTCAGAGTTGTCCTAGCAGCCTAAAGGAGAACAGTTTTAATCCACAGTTTGCTCTGCAGAAGAATCATAGGTAATTTCCTCTTGTGCTGTTTTCAGCCTCTGAACCCCCACAGAAGCGTCAGTTATGTTTTGGCCTGACTAATAATATAACATATTAACAACAATAACAATAGCATATCTGTAGTAGTTTTGAGAACATACTTTAACTCTTGTTGTCAAAGTACTATTGAATCAGAACTGACTCATAGTTGACCCTCTGCGTTTTCAAAGGATGTAAATCTCATTGGGAAGAGATTGTCCATCTTTTTCTAGCAGCTGGTGAATTCGATCTTGTTGGCAGAACAATTCTTTACCACTAAAATCACTTAGTTTACAAATGGATTTCAGAACCTTTTTTGTTGTTGTTGTTGAAAAGAGAAACTATATCAATTATATGTTGTTCTTGTTATCTACCCTTGAGTCAGAATTGACTCTTAGCTGACCGTCCAGGGTTTTTCAGAGGCAGTAGATTGCAGAGGAGGAGATAACCCATCTTTCTCTCATGGAGCAGCGAGGGGATTTGAAATGAGTGCCTTCAGATTGGTGATGTGGTTTCTCATCATTAGGCCACCAGAAGTCTCATCTCAATATATATATATACATAGCTTAGTCCACTGTGCCATAGCTTCATGCCCTAACCAGTATATTGTTGAATTTCTAATTTTTTTGTGCCTTAACTCAGTGCAATGTTAATGTATAACTGAATGAAACATTGTCCAGTCCTGGACCAATCTCATGATCACTGGTATGTTTGATTTCACTGCCATAGTTATTGTGTTACTCCATCTCCTTAGGCATTTTCCTCCTATTCATTGATGTATTATTTTGCCAGATTTGGCCAGATTGTGATGGCTTACGAGTTGCTATCATGTAGAAATCTATGCCATTGGCATTTCAAATGACAGTGACTCACAGGGGGCAATTTTTAGAACAGCTTCCAGACTGAGAAAAAGAAACATCTTCAATTTTTTCAAGTCCTCAGAAAGTTGAATCAAGATCGACTATAGCTGACCTTTCTCTGAATTTCTCAAACTGCATTGCAAAGGAGGAGTCAGTCCATTTTCCTTCCAGAGAGCCGCTGGTGGATTCTAGCCATCAGAGAGGCTCAGTCTTTGTGTGAACAGCACAGTTATCTATGAGCATCTGGCAGCCCACCTCCCTTTATATATATAATATCAGGTTAGGCATTTATATACAGAAGTGGAAGAAAATAGCTTGCCATTTAATCCACACATATTTACCAGTCCTTGGTACATAAAACTACTGTCAACTTATAAAAGTTATATTAATAATGTGTTATTATATTTATCTTAAAGGATTATGTTTATCATAGCAGCAATCATTTTATAATTTAAATTATAATTACAGAAAATGAATGTAATGGACCTGAAAAGTATTTCTTACTAAAACTATTCAGCATTAGGTATACATTTGCTTTGATAAGGAGCCTATTGACTTTTGAATTAAAACAAGGAATATGCTACATAATAACAAAATAAATTTAAAAAATGCAAACTAGAGGGTGTTGTTGTTGTTGCTGTTATGTGCTGTTGAGTTGACTATGACTCATAGTGACCCTATGTACAATAGCTCTGAACGCTGCTCTATCCTGAGCCAATATCATTGTCTCTGATACACCTATCTTCATTACCCTAGTTATTGTGTCAATATATTCATCTGGGTTCTTCCTCTCCTGTGCCATCCCTTCACCCTTCCAAGCATGAGGTCCTTCTCCAAGGGTCAGTCCCTCCTGGCTACATGCCCAAAGTATGTGAGATGGAGTCTCAAAATCCTTGCCCCAGGGAGAAGCTTGGTGTCAACCTCTCTAGGACATTCTTTGGACATGTTATCAGGAGGACTGCAAACAAGGTCAGTGAAGGAGAGAAAGACCCTCTGAAAAGTGGGAAGACACAGTGACAGCAACAATGCATTGGACCAGAGTAGAGGTTGTGAGGATGGTGCAGGATCTGAAAGGCTTTGGTTTTGTTGGACACAGGAGTGATCACGAGCTGGAATTAACTTACTGACACCTAACAATATCAACCTCTCAATTGTGCATATTTTGTATAGGATTTTCAAAGATTTCAGAAGTGGATGGCCAGTCCTTTTCCCTGTTGTTGTTATGTGCCATTGAATAACCTACAACTCATAGTGGCCCTACGCATGACATCTCTAAAGCCTTCCCTGTTGTGGGCCAGTCTCACTGACTTCAAAACACCTACTCTTATTTCCTTGGTCACTGTATCAATCCATCTTATCTGCAGTCTTCCTCTCCTGTGCTGTCCCTCCACCCTTCTGAGCATGATGTTCTTCTTTAAATACTAGTCCCTTCTGGCACATGACCAAAGTATGTGAATGGAACTTCAAAATCCTAGCCTCCAGGGATAAACGTGGTTTCACTCTCTCCAAGACAGATCTATTTGTTTTCTTGGCAGCCCTGTGTATGTTCAAGAGTCTTCTCCAGCACCACAACTCAAAGGCATCAATTCTTCTATCATCCATAGTCATTGTCCAGTTCTCTGATGCATAACAAGTAATTACAAAGACCCTGGACTGGATCAGGCACACCTTAGTCTCTAGACTGACATCATTGCTTCTCAATACTCTGGAAAAGTCCCTGACAGAAAATTTACCTAATGCAGTTTGTCTTTTGATTTTCTGACTATCACTGCCAAGAGTGCCGACTGTGGAGCTGAGCAAGCTTTAACTGTTAACAATCTTAATCTCTGCCTTAATTTAGATGTTCAATTTAGAGCAATATCTGACAGAAAGCATTTTACCTTGAAAAGGCTGATGCTACATTCCTTCTTAAAACGGAGGAATGTGGAATTAGGATTGGAGGAAGACTCATCAATAACCTGTGTTGATGATGATACAACCTTACTTTCTGAAAATGATGAGGACCTGAGGCACTTGTGCTTGCTAAGGAAAGTCAAGAACTGAAGTCTCAATATGAATTGAAGCTAGACATCAAGAAAACAGATTTTTACCACTGGGCCAATTGGCTTCACCATGATAGATGAAGAGATTGAGATTGTTAATAGTGTCAGCTTGCTCAGTTTCACAAGCAACACTCTTGGCATGAGCGGTCAGGAAATCAAAAGATGAATATTAGACCGGGAAAATCTCTCGTCAGGGTATTTTCCAGAGTACTGAAGAACAACGATGTCAGGCTAGAGAGTAAGGTATGCCTGATCCAGGCCATGGTCTTCGCAATCACCGGTTATGCATCTGAGAGCTGGACTAGGATGACGGAAGAATTGATGCTTTTGAGTTGTGGTGCTGAAAAAGATAACTGAACATACCATCGATTGCCAAGTAAACTAACAGGTCTGTCCAGCAGAGGATGAAAACCATGCTTCTCCTTGTAGGCAAGGATTTTGAGACTTCATCTCATATACTTTGGGCTTGTAGCCAGGAGGGACTAGTCTTTAAGAAGGATATCATGCTTGGAAGCGTTGAGGGACAGTGCAGGAGAGGAAGACCCTGGATGAGATGAATTGACACGAAACTGGGGTACTACAGGTAGGTGTGTCAGAGACAGTGAAATTGGATCAGGGTAAGAGCAGGGTTTAGAGGTATTATGCATAGAGTCATTATGAGTTGTAGTCGACTTGACAGCACATAACAACAACAATATCAGACATGTTCTATTAAAAAGGTGACCATAATCAATTTTTCAGTGCTAAAATGATAATTAGACACAGAAGCAGGAATGGCATCCACTTCCAAAATAGCTTGCCTCTGGAAACTCTATGAACATGGAGAAACGATGAAAGTTATACAGGTGTTCAGGTCTTTCATTCATAGGGTTGTTACAAGTTGTCTACTACTCAACAGCACTTAACAATAACAACAACAACTTAGAGAGAGCCCTTTTAGCATAGTGGATAGAAAGTAATGCTATCAAGCCAAAGGTGGGTGATTTTAATCTGCAGCACTCAGACCTGGTTTTAATTGGTTTTGGTCAAACATTCTTCTAAGTGGAATAACACTGGTCTGTCCATTTGCTGTACAGAGGTAACTCGTGGTTGCTGTGATGCTAAACACTGTGACACTGATGTGTCAAATGCAATAATGGTTACCCATGGTGGATAGTGTTTGGTGGAGCTCGCAGATTAAAACAGGCTTGGAAGCAGGAGTGGCATCCACTCCCGAAATAGCTTGCCTCTGGAAACTCTGTTTATTTGGAGAAACAATGAAAGTTATACAAGTGTTCAGGTCTTTTGTTCATTGAGTTGCTATGAGTCATCTATGACTCAACAGCACTTAACAACAACAACAAAATAGTATCCAGATTGGTAGGGGGGAAAGCTCAATGTTTTATTCTGTTCATTCTAAACCACTATTTTGTAATTATTATTTCCAGAACTATTTAAAGAAGCTTTTTTGGAGGCAGTTCTCTGTAGTTTTTGTTGTTGTTGTTGTTATGTGCCATTGAGTCTAC